AGTAATGAAGGAGCGTTGATTGCGGATCCGTTGATTATTCAAACGATTCAAAACGGATGTAATAAAAGAGACGCGATTAGCAGAGTAAAAAGGGTAAGAATTGATTACCCCGGATCCCAAATTTGTAACTAAAAATAGGAACGGTATAACATTGTAATGGGGATCGGAAATTTTTTATCAGAACCAATACAAACACTTTCTTTTCCAAGTGTTTCTTGTTTTCAACGATCGATACTCGACCGCCGAGAGTAGAGACCCACACAAATAACCGAAATAATCAATTGCGGATTCCGACATCCACAATTTGGCGCTAGAAATAGAGGCATTTCTAGTCTTTTACTCTAGATTAACGATCGAATCGAGATGTCAAGTGGTGCAGACCAAGTCTCAGTTCTCGAAGAGATTAAGAAGATGCCCAAGGACCTCTCCGAGAAGTCCGGTCAGCAGCAGCTCGCCGGCACCTCCCTTTCTGAGAAGTTTGCATCGTTCGAGGAGCACTGCAACAGCCAGTTTGCAACTCTTGCAGCAAGTTGTTCCGAAAGAAGGTTAGCTCATAACGCATATGCAGATCGAGTTGATACCATTACTACATGGACCTTGCGAGCAGGCGGACCGCGGGGGCGTTTGGATTTCCATGACTCCAATGCTTCTGAAACCCATGATCCTTGTGCTGTCGCTCCTGGTCATATTCTTCCAACCCTGATGCCCCTAGGCTCCCAGGGTGAACTTGGAGGTGGATCCCAGTAGCCAACAACATCTCAGGCACCACCATATGGTCCTTATACCTCGGCAGCCGCCACGACGATATGAACACCTTCTCCTATGCATCCAGAGGCTACTTGTAACGCTCGTCCTTCTACGTCCGTAGGTAGTGCAGAAGGATAAGGACAAGGTCTTACTTGAGGGAATCATAATGTGTGTGGAAACGGACGACAATTTGTTGGACGATCGAAGATCCGGACTGTTCCGTACGAGCATCTAGACTGTTCGGTACGTGATCTGGACTGTTCCGTACGTGATCCGGACTGTTTCGTACGTGATCCGGACTGATCCGTACGATCAGATCGAGAAAACGGTCATCTCCAAATTTTTCGGGAAATCTGTTCAAAGATCCCTGCGTCGACCCGGCGGGTGATCTATGGGTTTGGATCAGGCGTTTGGATGCGCAACAACTAGAACACGATCGTGCACGTGGGACGGTTATCCGGATCATGAGTATGCGCGAGCGAGAGATCGTGGGCAGTTGCGGAGCAGTTCTCCAAACTATCGCTCACTGCTCGACTCTCTATAAATAAAACCCGATCGTTTCTTAAGCGTTTTCACCCGTGAGAACTCCGAAAAAGAGCCGAGAAATTCCGAGAAAAATTATCCGAGAGAAGTTAAGAGATTTTTGAGAGATCAAGAGCTGATCGAATAATCTGCAGAGCATTGAGTAACTCGGGTAAGTATCGGTTAAACTTGGTGTTTATCGATCTTTTCTCGATGTTCTTAGTAAGGAAACATCATTTATGTCTTGTTGTGTAGTTCTTTGGTGATTTGCGAGTCGTTGGGAGAATTCTGATGGGAGAACTCTAAGCATCATGAGGTGTCCGAATCCCTATCTGGTCAAGTAACGGTGAGTGCGCGACCGGGGCTATGAGTCTGTGATCGTTTTCTTGCGTAGTCTCCTTGTGTCTTGATATTTTTCTGGTTTATTCCGATTGATTGCTTGTCATTATTAATCTGCTACTTAGTCTCGATATTCGATTCAAATCGATTGAGAATCTAGATCAGCGATACGCTCGGGGGTAGAAATACTCATCGGGGATTATAGGGTTTTAGGAAGATTTCTCGATAACTCTGGATGGTTAGGCTTTAAAAGTTTTTGTTTATGACTTGCGATAGACTATGTGATTTCTATGTCTTGATTGCGATTGTATTATTGTGGCCTGGTGAGACAGGACGACCGCTCTCACTAAGCAAATGCGTTTGCTTATGCGTCCTTTGTGATGCAGGAAAGGAAGGTAATTCTAGTGGCTGAACCAGTTCGCGGGACTAAGGCAAGGAAGGGAGGATGGTGGATTTTATTTCTGTTTTGGGTAGTTCATGTTTCTTTTTGGTCTAGTAGTTGAACGATGTAATAGCTTATAGCAAACTTACCGTTGTACTACAACCTCATTTGAATTAATGCAAGTAATCCATTTATGCTTTAAAATGACTTGTATAGAATTTGAATCGCCGCCGGAAAATATGTCAGTTAATCGGAAAAATGTCTAAAATCTGCTAAGTGTTTCGAGCCGTGAGTTTACTCGGCCGGGACAAAATGGGTTAGGGCATTTCAATTTAGTATCAAAGCGTGGTCAATTCTAGGGCAGTCTTAGCATAAGGGTTAAATCCATCCTTCCAATGCCATGGTCTCCCGGTAAGTCTGGTTTATTTATGTGGGTGTGAAACTAAGTTAGTGCGGGGACTAACTTAGTATATATGATATGTGGTCATTGTAGATGTGGTAGCATGGAGCACCAAGTTCGTGACTTTCCTGAAGAGGACACTCGGGGCAAGAATCCGGGCAGTGACTCGGGAAGCAAGTTGTGCTTTAATTATAATGAGTCTGGACATTACAAGAGTTAATGTCCGAAGTTAGTGCAGTTTCTATGAAACATGCAAGTGATGGATTGCCACCACCACCGAAGAGGCAAGCTGTGATGCCTCGCATGTATTCAATGTCCGAGGATTCTGCGGAGCCGAGTACTTCACGTCCGATCACTGGTAAGTCCTATCACTTACCTTAGATTTTTCTTGGTGAAATTTCTTGTTGAGTGTCGCACTAGGTTTCTTAGCATTCTAGGTGAATGTGTAGGGACCCTAACTTTGGGTGGTGTAGAAACCCATGTGTTGTTTGATTCCAGGGCTAGTCCTTGTTTTGTTATCCCGAATATGATGGGAAAGGCGGGTTCTTGAAGAAATCCGATATGATGATCATGTCGGATTGGACCAAGCTACTGGCGGGCAAGTGATGCTCCCATACAGAAGGGTTCCGAATGTTTCGGTGATGATTGACTATGTGAACATGCCGGCTAACGATGCGATCCTTGGAATGCACAGTCTCAGGAAGCTCAAGGCACAATTAGACTGTGATCGTGGACGAGTGCGGTTTGATACTACCGATGGAAAGTTGCTGGAGTGGTAGAGAGAAAACATGTTTTTTCTAAAATCAGTATTGAAAATCTAAAACGACAACTATTATGAAACAAAATTTAAATTCTTAAACGACAACTAAATTGAAACAGAGAGAGTAATGTTTTAAAATAATGGTTTCATTTCCAAATTATTATATTTTCAATACAACATTTATTAGGTATAACTATACATTTAAGGATAATTCTTAGGTAAATGTCTTAAATTTTGGTTTATAAAAGTTTTTCTTAAAAAAAGATTCTTATTAAATTTACTAGGACTATAATGTTATATATAAGTTAAGAAATATATTTAAATTTTATTACTTGTGGTGCTATTAAATATAACGTCAAGGATGTAAGAGACCTACCTAGAGATTCGATGTAATAGAATGTTGGATTAGTTCACATATAGTTATTGTTCTAGCAAATGTTAACTAAAAATGATGAAAATAACTCAAGCAAACAATATTGAAAATGTCATTAACAAAAATGTTTCGTTAAATCAATAAAATAAATAAATCAATATAGAAAACCACATCATATCAAAAATTTGAACTAATTTTTATAAAAAACTTATTTTCTAATTTTCACGGTCATATTTTTTATAACAGAAATGTGTAATTGTATATTAAAACTTTGCAAAAAAGTATCATTGGCCAAATTAATACGTTTTACAAAGTAAAATGTGGTTACTTGTCTGAAAATATTTTGCAAACATTTATACTCGCCGTTTAGATGTCGTAAATTAGTTGCATGTTTTCGAATCAATATATGTTGTAGCAACTTAATCATACTTTTGCCACCGAGTTATAAAAGCTATCTTGTACGTCTAATAAGGCCGAATATCATTTTTTATAGTGTTGTTTTTTTTATAGATGATCGAATCATGTGTGTTCTTTTACTGTCTTGAATTGATATATAAATAAATATATATATATATATATATATATATATATATATATATATATACTAATATATTTTTAATATATACACTGCTTATTGATCCTTGTGTTATTTCTAGAATCACCTTGTCTCCAAATATTATTATTTCTAAGAACAAGAGAACACATTTGATTTCATATTTAAATTTGATATATGAAAAAGAATATTATAATTTATTCTATAAAATTTTAATACTAAAAAATTACTTGAAGTATGTATAATTTTATGTTCCAATATATATCTTTGGCAACTGTATAAAATTAATAATAATTAATTTATTAAATACATTTTGAAGTAATTTTTGAGTCCAGGTAATCTGTTAATTGGTCCGCTTTGTTTTGGAAATTTGGAAGTAGTTTAGTTTGTTCTGTTTTGACGACATTTCGCCAAATAGAAATCATATTGAAGTCTTCGATTTAAAAGTACAAAATTCGGTTAGGTTTGTTGTAAAAAAGAAATTGCGGAATAGACCCAAAAATTCAGTTTTGGACGTTTTGTTCTTATTAGGATTTTATAAAGAAGTGTTTTCATCGTTTCATAATTGTATCAGCCAGATAATTAGGCCAACTATAATATAAGACATAAATGAGAAATGCAAAAAAAAAAAATTCAAACCACACATCTTAAGTCGTTTAACATATGTGGCGGCGGTCAAAACGAGCTATCCGACATGGTTTTAAAGAGAATTTGACGGTAAAACTTGGTAGAATTGGTGAAAAAGACAGCAAAAAGTATAATTGATTTTGTATGAGTGGAGAGAAAAGAGAAACAAACGGATAGATGATTTTTTGTCAGTTGAGAAAAGAGAAACGACTAAGACCTAGGTTTTATTATCTTTATCTGAACAACTTCATTAAATCAATCAGTTTGAATTCGAGTTCTGGATTTTAATGGAACCAACATCTGAATTTTTTTTATTCTTCTACTTAACGGTTTATGTGTGTAAACTAAAACAAAACCACATTTACCAAACCTCAGTTTGGTCAATTCGGTTTGAAATTTCAGCTCAAACATAGCAAAAACTCTAAAAGAAAAATTAATTTCTCATCGCCTATGCTAAGTAAGTCAATTTATTTTACACTAATAAGTAGCACAAATATCATGTCGTGTGCATAACTTTCAGCCTGTTATATATGTTCAACTCGGTAAAGCAAAACCATAGAAGAATATTAAATACGATAATTTTATTATAATTTTTACAAGAAAATTATGAAGTCTTATTTAATGCCACTAATACTACAACGACATATAAATCTTGTACAACTACGAATGTACTTACCCCTTCTAAAACAAGCTTTTCCGCAGTCATAACAAAAACCCATTACGCCTTGACGAAGAGACTGTCCAAGATGTATATCCACTAGAATTTGATCCATTGAAGGGCTCGCTAATGGATTGTCAAGAGATGTTCTCTCTTCTAAATTAGCTTTTTGAATAATTATTGATGTACCTATAAAATTTCCAAAATATATTTCAAATTATCAAATCAATATTGAAGAAACGACCATATATATATCTTACATAAGATCCCAATTCAATAGATTTAGACTTACATGAGGAAAAAAGGACTAGAAAAGTTAAAGACAAAATAATTGTCTTCATTCTTTATGTAAGATATAATAGTATCGATGAAAAAATATATCAAAAGAACTATTGTGCAATGAAGTAGTTAAAACTACATAGAGTCATATTTATATATATATTTTTATGAATTAATATGTTACGAAAGAATTATTGTTCTAATAAACGTTTTATTTTGTTATAAATGAAAATCAAGTAAACAATGCTCCTTTCGTTTCGAATTACATGGCATTTAAGATTTTCTCATACAAATTAAGAAAACAATTAAACTTTTTATATTATCCTTTATTAATATACTTTAAAAAATTTTATGGGCAAAAACAATAAAGTTGTAGAGAGAAAACATGAAGTTTTTCCAAAAATTTGCATTGACAATCTAAAACAACAACTATTATGAAACTAAATTTAAATCCTAAAACGACAACTAAATTGAAACAGAGGGAGTAATGTTTAAAAATAATGGTTTCATTTCTAAATTATTATATTTTCAATACAACATTTATTATTTATAACTATACATTTAAGGATAATTCTTAAGTAAATGTCTTAAATTTTGGTTTATAAGATTTTTTTTAAAAAAAGATTCTTATTAAATTTACTAGGACTATAATATTATATCTAAGTTAAGAAATATATTTAAATTTTATTACTTGTGGTGATATTAAATATAACGTCAAGGATGTAAGAGACATACCCAGAGATTAGTTCACATATAGTTATTGTTCTAGCAAATATTAACTGCAAATGATGAAAATAACTTAAGCAAACAATATTAAAATGTCAATAACCAAAACGTTTCGTTAAATCAACAAAATAAATAAATCAATATAGAAAACCACATCATAGCAAAAATTTGAACTAGTTATTATAAAAAACTTATTTTATAATTTTAACGGCCATATTTTTATAACAGAAATGTGTAATTTTATATTAAAAACTATTGCATAAAAGTATCATTGGCCAAATTGCTACGTTTTATAAAATAAAATGTGGTTGCTTGTCTGAAAATATTTTGAAAACATTTATACTCGTCGTTTAGATGTCGTAAATCAGTTGCACATTTTCGAATCAATATACGTTGTGGTACCCTTAATCATTCTTTTGCTACCGAGTTGTGAAAGCTATCTTGTACGTCTAATAAGGCCAAATATTATTTTTATAGTTGTTTTTTCTTTTTTATAGATGATCGAATCATGTGTGTTCTTTTAGCGTCCCGAATTGATATATAAATGAATATATGTATACATATATATATATATATGAATATATTTTAAATAATTAATCTGCTTATTGATCCCTGTGTTATTTCTAGAATCACCTTGTCTCTAAATATTATTATTTCTAAGAACAAGAGAACACATTTGATTTCATATTTAAATTTGATAAACGAAAAAAATATTATTATTTATTTGATAAAAGTTTAATACTAAAAACTTATTTGAAGTATGTATAATTTTATGTTCCAATATATATCGTTGGCAACTCTATAAAATTAATATTAATTAACTTATTAATACATTTTGAAGTAATTTCTGAGACCGGGTAATCTGTTTAATTGGTCTGCTTTGTTTTGGAAATTTGGAAGTAATTTAGTTTGTTCGGTTTTGAAGACATTTCACCAAATAAAAATCATATTGAAGTCTTCGATTTAAAAGTACAAAATTTGGTTCGGTTTGTTATAAAAACATGCCATTGCAGCAAGAGATAGGTCTGTAATCTTTCATCTCATAAGCTTCGGTCTTTTTTGGGATCAAAGCCAGAATAGTAGTATTAATTCCTTTAGGTAAGAAGCCTTTAAGGAAAAAAGACTGAATTGCTGTAACAAAGTCTGAACCCAAAATATGCCATTTTTGCTTGAAAAACTCCGCCGTGTAGCCGTCAGGACCAGGGGCTTTATTCCCAGGCATCTTAAACAACACGTTACGAATCTCCTCCCCTGAAACCTGAGACTCCAACGCTTCTTGATCCACAATGGAACAGCTAAAATCCACCAAATTAAATCATGAATCTGATCCATAAATACTCCCTCATAATCCACTGGTTGCTGAGTTAAAAAATCCTCAAAAAACCTCACTGCTTCAGCCTTAATATCTTCTTGACTTGTGGCTATAGATCCATCATGACATTTTTTTTCTCGGATTGAATTTTGAGCTATTCTGGCTTTGACTGCATTGTAGAAATACTTTTTGTTTTTTTCACCCACCTGAAGCCAATGGAGCTTTGATTTTTGCCATAAAAAAACCTCTTCTAGCTCTAAAACGTACATGATCCCAAATCTTGTATGCCTCTGCTTCCTCTTCCATCGAAGAAGTGGTTGGATTAGCAAGTGATGTCTCTGTATTTTACCGCTTTTAAGCACACTTTTCTCGTGCATTTAGCTAAGTTTCATCTCTCTTTCATTGCATCCATAGTCCTTTTCATATCATTTTCATCACTTAGTATGATTTGCATTGCATGGCATAGAATATTGCATATTGGATGTGTTTCAGGTATTTAGAGCTTATTTGGGACTTAATGGATGCAAAGAAGAGAATTGATGATTCAGAGCCAGTTTGAAGTCCCTCAAAGATCGACTCAGATGGAAGTGTTTCATTGCGATTTAGCTTCAGAGCTCTTCATACAAGTTATAGGAAATTGAGTTACCTTTCCAACGGAGGTGATGTCAAGCGAATCAGAGCTTTGATGCAAGAATTATGGTGGTTTTAATGGAGACATATGCAGAAAACTGGTTGGACTCGACAGGAGGTCGAGCAGGCGCTCAGAAACCACCAAGGGTTGGACTCGACCACACCAACTCGACGTGAGGTCGAGTAGGAGGCCATCAAGGAGCACCCTTTGAAGAATCACTCCCCCTCGACCACATGGACTCGACGACACGTCGAGTAGGACGTCAGGAAGCTGTCTGGACACGGACTCGACCACGCAGGCTCGACGTCACGTCGAGTTGGTCTCCGCCGACTCTCTATTTTGTCCTGTAGCTAATTAGGGCAACCTAGTATTTCCTATAAATAGGGGTTCACCCTTTTATCCAGCGGATATTCCTTTTACCCAGCAGATATTCCGCTGCTCTCTCTAAAAACCCTAGTTTTGTAATCGTTTTTCCCTTTGATCCTTTGAGTTTTTGGATTTCGTTTCTTCATTAAAGTTGTAGATCTCCTTCTCATCTATAACATACTTGCTTTTTAATGAATTCTGGGTTTGAAATGTTTTCTGGGTTTTTATGCATGATGTTCTTCAGTGTTCTTGAGTAGTGGATTAGGGTTCTTGAGGATGTGTTAGATTAGGTGTGGAATCCTTAGTATATTTAGGTGGTTAAGTATAGAATTGCTTGATTTCCCTTCTGGTTTAGTAGATCTTAATGCTATTTCTTCTCTGATCAATTGGAAATTGATCTCAGACATTTCCACACCCACAAGGTGTTTGATGAAATGTCTGAACAAACTTTTCCAGAGATTTGCATACTCTAGCCCAAAAGATTGGATGTTTAGAATGCTTATTGACTTTATTAGATTGAATCATAATGCCTGCTAGGTTATATTTCTTCAATGAGAATTGAGTATGAAAGTGATTTAGCTTGAGAATCTCTATCACGAGAGTGGATTGATTTGTATTCGAATCTATTGTCTAGGGATAGCTTGATTGAGTTTGTTAACCACCTAGATAGACTAAGGAGACTGCTATAATCGATTACCCCATTCCTCAGGACCCTTTATCTCTATTGCTTGCTCGTTTATCGTTTCTGTTAGCTTATGTGTTCTACTCGACCTGCTTGCTTATTACTGCTTAGTTTTGATAGTTGTTTCTCTTTATGCATGTTCATTCCTATTCCGTAGTTTAATCGTTTTTATGCATGTTCGCTTAGGATTGTTAGATAAACAACCCTCTATTCTGCTTGGCTTGACTTAGTATTCTCTAAGCATATCTTGATTGATAGTAAGAGCACCTGATTGGATTGATAACCTCTTATACTGCAATGACATGATAGTATATTAGGGTAATTGATAGTAAAAAATCCTAGTATCAGCAAGCGTAACCAACTGCTTTCCACAAAGTGACTTATGTGCTTCCTCAACTCTGGTCTATAGATGGTGAAGTTTCTTACGGCCTAAGGAACGCAGAATTGGTTTCAGAGCTTTGAGTTTTTTTGCGAAACGGTACATGGCAGATGTAGAATGAAAAAGGACAGGTGTGCTATCCCAAAATTCTTGAACTGTAGGCAAAAAATCTGGCAGTGACGTGATGACATTCGAGAATTTGAATGGTCCGCGTGGTCGAAGAATTTCAGTTCCAAAATTAAACCTGCAACGAAGATGATCTGAGCAGCCCCCTGGCTGAAAAACACAATAAGACTCCGGAAAAGCTCTGTTCCATTCCTCGTTCACCAAAACCCGATCCAATTTTTTGCAAATTAATCCCTCTTCCCTCTTGTTGCACCAAGTGAACAGGGGACCGTGTGAACTCATATCCACCAAAGAACAGTACCTAACTGTTTCTTGAAAATTTCTCATCCCAATGGGAAGAGACAGAGAGATGTCATAGCTTGAATGTTCCTCTCCATCAAGTATTTCATTAGAATCACCTATGATTATCCAAGGTTTATTATGAAACATTGGAGAATCCTGGTGATACTTAAGATCTTCCCACAATTCTTTTCTATCCTCAGCTAGATTAGCCGCATAGACAAAAGAAATAAAGATCTCCGAGGTAGCACCTTCCAACAACACTGAACAAGTTATAAGCTGACCGCTTTTATAAACCGCAGTCACCCTTACATTTTCCCTCCAAACAACCCAAATCCTGCCCCGACGATTAAATTCATAGTTTGACATAGTCGACCAAACTCGAAACACAGAAGATATGATCCGAGAAGCCTTATTTTCTTGAACACGAGTTTCCAGTAAATATCCCATCCTCATAATGTAACCAATATTTAATATCCCATCAATAGTACATTTGAATTTTACATTTGCCAATGGCCAAACATCATAGTAAAAAAGTTCAAGAGATTACACGGATTCGAACACGAGGCGACATGAATTTGAAGCCCTGGCCTCACTAGCCAACTGGTTGAGTATCTCCATTCTATTTTCCAACTTCGTGACTGTTTCGGGTATGATGGATTTTGTGATGAAAGTTGCTTTCTTCAACTGTCTTGCGTTTCTTAGAATGTATGTAGCCACTTCTTTCTCATCTTCTCGTTGCCACTCATATCTTGTCCACACAAATGTCTCTAGATGAAACAATAAACATTCAGGGACACATTTGGGTCGACTCCATTCCCAGCCCACCGGACAATCATCTCTAGCAAATCGATATGGCTGAGAAGAATGCAATTAAAGGACATTAAAATATTTGAAAGTAGAGCACTGGAAAAAAGTAGTTGACTAATGAAATGGCTTACATCGATGAGCTTAAAAATTTGTAATTTGGGAGAACTATCGAGCATGAAGGAAAGTAGATTCCACCACTCATAGCTAAATGTACGAAGCTCCAAAGATAAAAGCTGGTAGAAGATTTTACCAATAGGATACTTAATCTGTGCATGAGGCAACATTGGTACACACACAACAATGTTAACCCAATTACAAATAAACCCCGTGAAAATCTTAAAACTTAAATTTACCTTTAACGGTGATAAGTTTACGGAAAGACGTTTGGCTGAAGTTAGAGATTCCAAAATGTTCTCATTGGCTATTTCAAAAATATCAGAGATTTTGGCCTCCACCAGCTCTGGCGCTTTCTCAATCAAACAAAACTCAAGACCATTAAACCCGTCGATGTTCAAGTATTTCAAAGAAGGAGCATTTATCACGTAGCCTCCAACACCTTCTCCATAGTAATCATCATATATGGTTAGTCTCTGTAATGATGGCACCGCAATAGTATAAGTCACCACATCGATAGTGCTATATCTATGCACGACCAAATCCTCAAGAATAGGGCAGCCGCATAAAAGGTTGCAAACAGATTCTTCATCTTTGAATTGTACTTCGTAAAGGTACAGCTTTCTAAGAGACTTCAAACAAACCAGAGAAGGAAAATCTAAAAGAATGTAATACTTGAGTTTCAAGATTTCAAGTGTATCATTACAACTACACCAAGCACTCGGAAATCTTACATAGCTTTCCTTCAATTGCAATTCCAATCAATAGCCCAACATCCAAAACATCACTCTTATCTTCAATTCTCAAATGCAAACTATCTAGAACCGGAGCGTTATGTGAAATCAAAGATCTGCAAACATTCTCTAAAAATGTATGATGATACTTGGAATCAAACTTGAGATTTGGCACCATCTCCCAAAGAGATTTCCAACTTTTGGACAAAACACTGGTAGCTATGACAGTTTCTGTTGGAAGTGAAGACAATATGTGTAGAAGCAAAGCTTCAGGCAACTCACTAATCCTATCCTCCTTATTTACAATATCTCCATTTCTCAAACCTTCACCACCGATTTTGCTGTTTAAAAGGAAAAATCAAAATAATCAAAGATAAAGATTTTTTGGGTAAGTAGAAATTAAGGTCGGAGCTTACAACTAAGAAAACCTAGAAAGGGATTCGGAGAAAAACATAAACGAAACAAAGAGACATACCGTTGTTGTTCCATTATCGTTAAACAGAGACAACAATTTTGCTACAAATCCTTGAGATTACGAACGCTCCAAACTCAAATGCAAACGCAGCCGATCACACGAATCCTGCTAATGCTTAGATATGATAATGGTGACGAGATTCAGCTTCAAAATTATTCACTTGTGCGTAGAAAGAATCACCTAGATACAAAACCCTAACAGAATGACAACAGTGATCAAATTCATAGAGATTCTGGAGAAGAAAGAAGACAACGGAATCAACACGTGAGAAAATTCGAGACGGAGCGTTTTTCCTATCAAACCAAATCCAAAACAAAAAACATTCACAAGCCCAAAAAAAATTTATTATGTTTGTTTGCTTCCGGCCCAGGCCCAATAAGATAAATAGTTAAACTGAGTTTAGGTCTGAAATCGAAACAGCTCTCATAGCTTCTTCTCAAGTTTCTTCAATTGTTGTTACCCTTCTCCCAAATTCACGACTTTCTTCTGGGTTCGTCGGAAAACTTGAGATTATATCTGTTGTTTTGTTGCGGTTGTAGGAGACTCCGGTCAATTGACATGGGTTTGTTGTTGTGTTCCTTGAGTTGAGTTTTAAGAGGGTTTCTAATCAGAGCTTGAAGAAGAAGAATTGTAGCTTAGTTACGTTTGGGCATTGCAACTTTCTCTTCTCACTCCTTAAATTCAGGTGCTTACTACTTCTCTCATATCACTTGTGCGTTCGGATTCGATTTGGGTTTGTTTGTTTAGTGTTTGTTTTGTGACTGGTTTAATACTTGTTGTAATCTGTGATCATAGAAAAGCATTTGGAGAATGCACTTTGCATCTTTCTCTTTTTGGACAAAGTTGTTGTGGATCCGTTTCTTCTTGTGAACTTGTTACTTTAGCAGAATTTTGGGTTTTATGGGTTTGTGAGCAAAATTGGCTTACTTTAGAGATTAGTATAGATATGAAGGAAGAAGATATCTGTGTAAAATATTGAACGTCGTTAGTATAGAAATGAGATTAGTATCATGAACGTTAGTATAGATATGAGATGGATTAGTATCATGAACGTTAGTATAGATATTCTTTAATCATGTGATATGTTTGGTTTCTCTCTGCAAATATTCAAGCAGATATCTGTGTCTTCTTTTCTAAGTTTTTTTTTTTTGGTAACAATTCTTTTGCAAGTTCCTGTGTCTTCTTTTACTCTAATTTGTTTGCTATACTTTGTAGCATTATTTGGCTTGTTTTTTTTTTCTTTCTCTTATGTGTACAGTTTCTCTTCATTTAATTTGGTAGGTTCTTTACTTACATTGGCTTGTGTCTATTACAATCCAAGTTTGTGGATTTGTGTATGGTTTCTTAGTGATTTGAGTAGATTCTGGAATTAGCGCAGATGTTCAAAGTCTTTCACATTTGAGACTGTTATATTGATGTTTGGAAGGTGTATATTTATGTTTATGGAACTTGATGCTGTGTTGTTTGAAAGTTTCCATTTTTCGTTCTTAATCCATTACAAGTGATTAAAAAACTATGATTTGTTTGCTTACGTTAGGGACTTTGGCCAATATTCTGATTCTTTGTGTTACTATACTCTGCATTGGTTTGCATTTTGTGTCCGTTCAGATTGTTCTTTGGAATAAACCTTTTTTTATCATGTTCTCTTGGTGCTGGATAGTTTATTTATATCCTCTTTGCTCTTGGTGCATGTTCACCATTTAGAGCTGTAGAGTAATCGTTTTAAAGCTCGTAAACCCTAGACTTGGATACACTTCAGTCTAGCCGCGAAGAAGCTTTTCTCTCTGTGAGTTTTCGTTCCTCTCTACTTGTCGTCTCTCTGATTCTCTTCGCTGCTATCTCGTTTGATTATAATTAGGGTTCTTGTGTGTTTTCTCTCATCGTGTGTTCTGCTGCTAGCTCCTGGAATATTCTAAGTTGGTTGTTTTGTTCATTTCTAGTTTTATTGATCTGATATAAAGCGTTTTTTAGAGTCCGTTGATTTGTTGTTTGTTATGCTTTAGTGATTTGTTGAAAGTATCGTCTTTGGAATGAGTATGATTAGAGTTTCGTTGATGAAACTTGTCGTTTATTTAATTGATGTTGATAATATCTTTAACTTGGTTTTTGGTGTGAATTAATTATGAAGTCTTCTATGGTCATCTCATGTACATACCCATTAAATTTCTCAAAGGACATTTCGTTACGTTGATGAAAATAAGTCAAATCACTAATCATTTTTTCTTGGTCAAACCATGCATTCAACTCATTCATTTTTATTCCCAATTATCAGATACAAGGCCCTAAAATAATATCCTCTCATAAGATAACCTAAACTCGATTAGCAAACACATCTATACCGGCCAAAACTCCTGTCAAGCTCAGCAGAGTCTTCTGCTTCGACGGTGATACGATTGAAACCCAGACTATCAGTCATGGCTATGTCTGAGTTTGGCATTGTCTATGCCGTCCATATCATCACTGTCCAATTCGGCTCCGTCGTATCGGTAAAATTTAAACCCTTTAAACCCTTTTGACACTTTTGTTGATCTCTGTATAACGAATTTGGTGATGGGTTTTGTTTATTTTGCAGAAAGTTTGCGAATGTCTTCTACGTAAAGGACCTCTTTCCTCGCGAGACATCTCTCGTTTAGCTGAATCCGATATCAATCATAACCAAGTTAAAGATATTCTTTATCTCTTGATTCAGCATAATTGTGTTCAAGCTTTCTCTATTGAACCACCTGGTTAGTCTCTATGTATCCTTCAACCATGTCATTAGTAGCATAACAAAGAAACAGAGAACTCATATACAGTATTTTGTATGTTTTTGACTTGTAGATGGTTCTGAGAGCAAAGCAATTGTACAATATATTGTGCTATTTAACAACATTTTGCATCGTGTGAGGTATAACAAGTTTTCGAGGATTGTGAATGAAGAACTTGGCTCTGAGGTTTAATCTTGCTTCTTCTTTACTCTGTTCAGTGTTTTGTTTAGTTGGTTTTACGTTTCAAGACTCTAATGCTAATCTTATACTTTTTGATCTATATGTATAGTGCGGCGCAGTTCTTGATGGTTTACTTAGTAACGGTAGGCTTACATTGGGACAGCTAATTGAAAGAGACAGAGGTGAGTCCTGATATCATATGTTCCTCTTATGTTATATTACCACAGTTTACTCTCATCGTAGGCATTGGCTTTTGGACTTTTTGTATCTCCTTATGATTTCAATAATGCTTCAAACGGAATGGATGTTAATCTGTTGTATACGATTTCTTCATACATGATTAGATTCAGGAAAGACGATAGGTTCTGAAGCAATCAGAGATTCTCTTCAGAAATTGGTTGCTGCCCGTTTTGTTGAGCGCATTCCTTCTCCCGAACCTGTTCTTGGTAACAAAGACCAAGAGCCGGCAAAGAAAAGAGGCGCTAAAGCTGCCAAGGTAATTAATTAGGTCTTTCTAGTGTTTGGTATACCTATACATTGTCCAATATATCAGTTTATTATTTATCAGACCTACCAATGCAGCAACATGACTCTCAGTTTTGATTTTTATTCTGTTCGATATTAATAAATCTCTTGGAACTGTGTAGATTCTTAAAGAACCGGAAACCTTGGAAGAACGTGTTGTTGAAGCAGCAACTCCAGTTGACGCAATAAGGTTTCCACTTATATTTGAAGAAGATTTCAATTCTTCTTTAGCAGATGACGATAGCAACATCACTGAGGGGAAGGTATCAGCATTCTAACCATAACCAATCTTGGCTATCTTATAAGCTACATTTCATGATGTTGCACTGAATACCTTTGTTTGTTTCTCATTGAACCGAATATTTTAGCGTAAACAACGTGATGTGGACTCATCAGATCCGAGCAGTAGAGTAATTTGGCGTCCCAATTTTGAGGAGTTCATCCACCGCCTTAGACATAAGGTTAGTTATCCGTGTTTCTCTTTTGAGGTAGTTTGATGAGAGAAAAAGCTCTTCGTTATTGGCATTTGAAATTTTGTTTTTTCTAATCTAGCTTACTGGTTCTTAGCTTTTAACCACTTGTTTCCTTGTTGAAGGCGTGTGTGGAGATCGTGAAAGAGCGCAGGGATGAAGGATGTGCCATTGTCTTGAGGGCAATGTTAGAAGTAGGAAGACCACAGGAGAAGAAGGTGAAAACAGACAATTCGGGTAATATCTGAGTTGCTCACTCATTTTCATACAATATTAACATCATAAAAATATGTTGAAGTTAAAATTGTATTTGGTGTGATTGATTTTGCATTCTCCACCAAAAGTCCACCTACGAAATTCTGTTGAGTAACTGAACTTGCTTTAATCTTTGAAACAGCTCCAATGTCAGTTGGTTCCATTTATGAAGAGGTTATAAAGACAGAAGCAGGTCGCACTATGTTACAAGAGCGAGTTGAAGCATGCCTTGACCAATTGAGTGCTACGTCTTCTTATCTACCAGCATTTGTGACAGAAATGAATGATTCATACATAGTTGGTATAGTACTCCATTCAAAATCTTAGTCAACTGATTCTTGTATCCAAGCTTACATTTAATATTGTTTTGTTATTTGGTATTTGCAGATTTTAAATCCATTATCAGCGTAGCACAGAAAGATGAGGTGTGTATCATATATTTTTCTTTTCCTGATATATTTCTGAAACTGAAAACGAGAGCTTTGGATGTTTCTAGATAGAAGCAGTAGTTATGAGAAGATATGGGAAAGAAGCTTTCAGAATGTTCAGATACTTATCACAGGAAGGGCGTTTTGTTGACACCGATAAGGTTAATGACTGTTCTTTCTGATTCATATAGAAATATCTTCAAGTCATAATGATTTCTTAACTTCATCAATATGTTTTTTTTTTCTGTAAGATTGCTGATGCCGCGCTGACTGAAAAGAAAGACACACCGCAAATCCTTTTGAAGATGTGGAAAGACGGATACTTACATATGCAGGTATTCATAGTTTCGAAACCAAGTCATTTCCAAAACTAAAACGAATTGGTTGATATGAGTGAGATTCATTGTTGTTCTCTTCTGTTCGTTTTTGTAGAAATTGGCGATCACGGGTACGTATGTACCGTTTCTGTTGTGGAAGGTAAACAAGTTGATTGTGACGAGGCAAATGTTAGATGAAATGTATCATGCTTCACTTAACTTGAATCTCAGGTTGGCTCATGAGTTAGAATCCGAAAAAGAGGTTAGTCACACTGCAAATCGATTAACTCAATGGGTTTCAAGCTGGTCAAAATACTAATAAACCTTTTATTGCTTTTGTGGCAGTTGCTGATGTTGCCATCAGATAAACTGGAAGGACCATTAAAGGAGAGAGTGAAAAAGGTCAGAGCCAAGAGGCTGTTACTCTCTTCCACTATGTTTAAACTTGATGATGCGATTATGCTATTTCACGACTTTTAAACTCTTATTTTGAAAATCATTTCTTTATTTTGTTTTAGTCGATTTAGTTCACATTGTCCTCCTACCTATGAAGGTAATTGATATTGTTTCGAGATAAAGGTTTGTTTAGATTCTTTTTACACACTGAACTCATATCGGTTTCTTTCCCTCTTATTCCCTATATTTTATATACTTTAGATTTAGTTTCCGAACTCTTAATCTTTTATCAGAAAACTTTTTATAAGCTCCCTTTCCTTTATTATGGCTGATGAGCTTTGGGATGAATTGCAAAATCTGGTTTCGGTGACCTAGAATTGTTTATTACCCATGAAGCTTAAATTTGTAGAGACTTTGGAAGAAAAAGGAGCATACGAAATAATAGCAAACTATAGTAAGTGGAGATGTGTGATACGGTCTTTTCCATAAATCCAGAAAAGCAAGGTAGCAGCAAAATCCAAGATTTAAGGATAAAAACCGATGAAACAAAAAACAGAGTCTGATAGACAAAAATTCAGTTCCAAAAGTTGATAAGATAAAAGTTTCTTCTACCTCTGAAGAAAGACCTCACTTCTTCTCTTCTTTCTCAGCCTCAGAGGCTCTCTTGGCTCTAGCACCAGCATGTCTCTTGTTCGTGCGCTCAAGACGTATCTTGTCGTACGCCTTGAAGGACTTCATTTCTGAAGTCAGCTTGACGAGCTCCATGATTGGCTTCTCACGTACAATAGGCAAGTAGTCTCCTTGAACTTGGGTAGCATTAGCCAACTCTTCTGGTGTAGAGTCACCAGCCTAACAACACACAAACAAAATCAGAACAAGTAAGAGATCAGTACCAATCCAACAAT